TAATAATAATAATAATAATAATACATGACATACGAAAGACGCGTGTACACCTCAGTCTGTATCGCTGTCCTTGACAGAAGGGACAACACTAAAAACAAATCGATTACGCTCGCGATATTAATGTTAAACTGCGTGCGGTTTTTTTTTTTGTTTAAAAGAAAGTGAGTCGGACATTGTTATCATTCCGCAATTTTTCTGCGCAGGCTGCTCTCGGAGCGTGTTTGCTCTCTGGGTGGGAATCTCTCCAGCACCGGGTTCTGCAATGCTGCACGTGAATGGCGGAGCGTCTGCCCAATGTTCCAAGAGCTGCCGAACTGGTCCGACTCGAATATTATCCCTTCTCCCTCTCCTTCGCAGGCACAAACCTTCTGTAGGAACCATGGCCGAGAGAGAAGGGCGCGATGCGATGTGTTATTGAGCGTTAGGTTTTCAAGCCCTCGGTGCCGATGCCGCATTGTGCGCCTCGCATCAATCGAACAATCAATCAAAGTTTATTTATCAAATGCACAACAATACAGTAGTTGCTGGAATTGAAATGTCTTGGCATGGAGATTTGAAGGATACTGGGTAAGGTAAGGCAGATCAAGCGCCGAAAATGTTCGGTTATTTTATTTCGAGGCGCGGTGTGTTCAAGTAATGTCGTAAGAAAGGGATTATACAATGGCAATTAACAAACCGATACCCTGTGTATGTTTTTAACACAGCTCTTGGTTACCAAAAATAACACCACCAATACATTTACACAGTAAGATCCATCAACGTAACAACTCCTAACAACAGTAAGAATCGCCGGGTACAATGACAAACACCAGCGGTTTTTGAAGAGACTCAAAGCAATGTACATTATTTGAAATAACACCCCAAAAAAAGAAGAAAAAACAGCACCTTGACTCAGTAAAAACGCGAGTGAAGTTAAATTAGGGGCTGTATTAAATGTTGTAATTGGTATTTAGGGGTGGTAATTGGCGTTAATTGGTATTAAAGGTTGTGGTGAAAAGAGGTGAGGAATTGGAACCGCTGGCGAGGCATCGAATTCGAGAAGCGGGTTTCAGAGACGGCGCCGAGCGCGCGCTGTCCGTCGTTAAAATCTCGGATCGAGTTTTTGGCCTATAGTCGCGTAGCCGCAAGAAATGCCCGTAAATAACCTGGAATCAGGCCCGTGGAGGATTTTATCCCTAAGCAGGAGAAGTTCACAAGCAACTCTGAATTTCACAGGGAGCCGGTGCGATATGTGCTGGCGCTGAGGGCTTTCTCACACAGGGCCGGGATGTCCGGTCGCAAAAACGAGTATCATTCTTATTTTACATTTTTAAAGTGTTCGCATAATTCAGGCTGGATTCAAACGTGAAAAAAAATGTCGCGGTTGAAGGCCAGGCTCCCCACAACAATGGGTTTTTTTTTCACGATGTTTTAACACGCGTGCAAATAAATTGAATCTTTTTCTTTTTAAACGCGTTGGCCTCGTTTAAACGCAAGGTGACCGCTTGTCCGCCGTGGACAAATAATGCAAAAAAAAGACCCTCAGAACGTATTGCTTTATATTAGATATAGTGTGCAACTTTAAATTATAATAATGCCATCGGGCTGTTGTCGAATGCGTGTTTCTGTCCTCAGTACCGAGTAATAGATAGTTTGAAACCTTCACATTGTGCGTCCACGACTGACCAGGTTACCAGATCGAAATGTTACCGAAGAAAAGAAAAATAATATAAAATGGGTAACAAAGTGATCATTACTGCATTCAATATATTTATCTTAAAAAAAATAAACGCAGTTTGGAGAACCCTGTCCCATCAGCACTGTTATCTTTGAAAAGAAAATGGCCAATCATTTTTATTTTAAGCTACTGTTGTTAATGCTGACATACAATGTATCTGAGATGTATCTTTTTTTTGGACACCGCAGGTGAAATTAGTTTAAAATGAAAAAAACAACAGTATTTTCTTTAAACAGAAAGCTCTCTCTGGTACACACCAAATAAATTCCTTGCCTGGATATAATTCTCTCCCTGAAGCAGCTGTAACTTAAAAAGAAAAACTATAAAAACTCACCGTACATGTATTATAGTGTTGTTATCTACATGGCATGCTGGATCTTTAATTTGTTGTTATTATTAAGATAACAACCTAAATAATATTCTGAAATAACTTTTTTATAAGGCCCATAATGGAAACATTTCTCTGTGAAAAACTATCAGGCAAAACGTTAATTTGTTCTAAATGGTCACTTGTTCAGTTTTGACAATACTCCTGTTTCGGTAGATCGTGTGGTAAATTAATTGTTTAAAATTGCATGCGGCTACTTAAAAACAAAACTTTCAATATCAGTGCCTGAAAGAGGAGGGTATGAAACCCTATATTTAGAAGACTTCAAACCTTCAGGCCTACAGTAACGTGCACAATAGAATCACGATTAAGAGTTTAAAATTAAGTGTATTGCAACAGAAAACAAACCCGTCTGAATGTTTTATTATAGCACTGTACTGTGTGTACAAGAATGAGTGTTAAAATAAAAAA